GCTAGCGGCAGTTCCGGTGGAGCACTCTACGGGCGGATGCGTTACGAAATATTCCATCAATGCTGTCAGGCAACCGGTCAGCATTTTCTTATCGTTGATTTGCAATGCGGGTAAGATCTGATTATGTAGTCCCACCTGATGGACGCAATACTGATGGGGTTGGGGTTAGGGGTTAGAGTTAGTGGTTAGCGTTTTTGATTAAGGTTAGGGGTTAGCGCGACGATTTCTCAACCACTTAAAGTACAGACGCGCATTCTCAATAGCTTTTCTTTTGCATACAGCTACTTGACCTCGTCGCCTGCGCGTTCCCCGGGTATCCCCTGTGAAAACCCCTATTACCACCGGTCCCTTATTACAGGTGGACGGAGTATGTTTACTTCAGGTGGGGCTACATAACCACATCTGACCGCAATGAGAGTCTAACGCAGCTTATACTGCAGTATGATGGCTGTGTCAGTCAGAGGTGAGGAAATATCAGATACATGTAGTGGACGAAATTCGAGTCACAGGGGTCATGCGTAGTGAGTTCTCGTCAAAGCAGCAGACCCTTATTGGTTCCCCGCCTGTTTTAACTGTAGTCCGGCAGATTATCCTCATACCTTGAAGAGGGAGACTCGATCGCTGGGACAAGAGCTTTATTAGCCTGACGTTTTGGATTCCTGCTCGAACCCATCATCAAAGACAAAAGCAGATACGGGTGGTTCATGCACAGGGAGTTGCAGTATTTTAGGATGCAGTCGCCATGCTACCACATTCCTATGAATATTCACGGCTCTCGTCCTTCATCAGTGATCGTTTCACTTGGTTTGATGACTGTTTGATGACCGACATTTGCGTCGTTAATTGCTGCAATTTCATCACGTGCGTTGGGTGTTGGTGTGATGATTGCTCGACCATCTGACGCACTGACCCTGGTGTTGGGAAAAGTGTTCACCTGTGCGCTCCCCGCGTGGCTAATTACTCCGCCTAGGCGAAGTCTCAGCGCCGAGTATGGAATGGGAAGATCATTTCATCTGTTAATGGACTGGGAGCCAGTGAACCATGGCTCAAGCAGCTCACGGTTCACGCGGTTGTCACCTCTTGCGAGAATTCCGGCCTCGTTAAATTTGAATGTGTGGCCGGATCTCGTCGAATGAGCCGCAACTTGAAAGCTGGCGTCATTTCTCCGCACCGCTGCGGCGTGTTCGGTCATTCGCGTTCGGAGCTGTCTTCCGGTTTCTCCTCATACCTGTCAAGTTAAAGTCATGACCAGTACTCACTGCATGTGAGAACTGATCACTCCCATACACTGTCATTTGGTGTATGCGTTGCTTGGTTTTCAGCTGGACAAATAAATAGAAAACAAGATATTGAATCTGACAAAACAAGACCTGACATACTATTGCCTCGGAAGCATAATTGAAGTATGGCAGAGAGTGCCACGGCTTTTGTGCGGCAGTCATCCCACAGGATTTAACAAAGGAGGACGAGGATTTATTATGCTCGTTTATACTGACTGACGTAAGGGGTGCTGCTTCGTTTGAGGAGCGTTTCGATGGAGGTTCGCTTGTGCGTCATCTGGCGATGGCTGTTTTAGTTACCTTGTCATAGGTCTGCGCTTCGATTTTGTCCTGTCGTGTTTCTCTGGTGGAAGTAGTGAAAAATAAAAGCTGTCACTTCCATTATTCCCTGGAAAAATACATGACACAGAAAATAGCATTGAACATAATGTGAGAATTTACCGTCCAGACTTATTTTGAGTGTTATGGAAAAGTGTGCCTGGCAGTCATTTAGTAGATTCTAGTCAATGGATTTTTTGTTAAAAGCCGTGATAATATTTGGCGGGCAACTAAGTCAAAATAGGAAAATTTTGAGGTGCCCATCGGACTTTCTTAGTTCAGATAGTTAGAGCGCTGATTGTATTTTAGTGGTTTACCAACCTGAGCTAGTAAATCCCTGCCCTTACGGTCGTGGGTTAGAATACCGCGAGGGTAGCCGAGTTTTTCACAACTTTGCTATGATTGTGCCGTCGGTATAGCGGTGCTAAATGAAGCTGAGGGCAATTCAGTCTGACCCTTGTAGAATCAACACTGCAACCACGCCGTGCACTGAGAAGCCTTTCAACGTCCCCCTGATCCATTCACAGGTTTAGTCGTTTGGGAGAACAAAAAAAATCTCATGAGGCGGTTTCATAAGGCGGAGCCTTTTGGTTTTGTAGGTCACCGCGAAACCGAGAAGTTAACATGAGCGGTGTTGACGAAGTAATTCGAAAACGTCCAATTTTATGGCCGTCTAACTGTCAAGATTGGATGTGGGCTTACGGATTTTGGTAAGTCATGGAGTAATTCTAGAAGAACTTTATATGGTTCTATATTATAAACCAGATTTAGCCTTTCCCGAAAACGCTTCGCTTTTCTTTTTATGAATGGGCTACTGACAACGCTTCGGGTTTTTCGCTCGGATGTCTGCCGTACAAATCCGACGAGAATTTATCAAAGATGTTTGTGAGCAGTCATCTCTATCACCGACGTGTTCAAATACCTCAGCAACCAGTTTCTTTGTATGCCCATTTGTCATTTATTCGAAGAACTTATGTTGTCAAATTCGCGTGTATTTTTGCTGCGAAGAAAACCGCTATGACTGTTGTTACCTTGTTGACATTCAAGAAGGTGACTCTTTAACGGCACAAACAGTCAACAAAATGAGTAATAAATTAAGCATTTAATGCCTGTTGCTCATGAGAAAAAGGTCTTTTCAAATAATTGCAGTTGTTGCTACTTCGGTTCTCACTATCCTGTGCCTCAGATGAACACCCACCGAGCATCCAGGGTTCGATTGCAGTAGGATCCGAAGTCGTTTCTTTGTGTTTATTTTCAAGCTCCGTCTTCACAGAGCCTGGATGTAGTCCGCCTGTCTAATTACCCTCTGTCACGAGTTCCTGTCTCCAACCGCGATTCAACAAAAAAAACTGTCCCCTGTTCAACCGTCTAACTCGTCATCTAATCTTAATCTGGTGCAGCGTTGGTGCCGAACTCTGCCCTCTCTCCCCCCTTCCCCCACCACCCTTCTCTCACATTTACCGTCATAGCAGGCATGACTCTTTTTATCCTGCTTAAAAGGCATTTGCTAATTGCGTTGCTTTTATATCTTTTATTTCTGTTGCCAGCTTTCCTTTGCAGCTCTCGCCGATCAGATCAGGAAAGAGCTAAAATTTCCCGCAAATCCAGACTCTGTGTAAACTTTCCAGCAGCAGTTTACTCAAAATCCGCTTTTGGAAATTGTTTTTTGTCTATTTTTGTAAGTATTGCGCTAACTTTCTTTTTGCCATATGATAGTATACGATCAAACTTTCGGCAGAAATCTGTTTATTTTCTGTGGCCTGTCCTTCCTGCGTGTTGCCCCACCCGTAAAACCCGCTCTAACACCATTCAACGGATTACACGGTCCACAAGCTACCTCAAGTTAACTGCGGTTCTACACCCCACCGTTGCCTAAAAAAGTACCTTAAGCAAGCGTTCTCATGGAGAAGGACCCTGTTAAAACACTTTTCGAGATTTAAAACCGATAAAGAGCATGTATATCGCTGATCTAACTTACGCGGGTCCATTTTTTAGTTGTCTGGGCGAGTCTATATATATGACCCGGACCACTATCTTCATAAAATAGAAGGCCAAAGAATTCACTATTTCGGCAAATGCTTCCAGTATCTTATTTTGAAGATCTTGACAGAACTGTCAGCTAAGAACACTGAAAACCCTAAGGTATTCACTGACGTTTCAAATGTTCTTAGGAACTCAGTCGAAGCCGCCGTCGCCAAAAAGCACACGTAATTTTACGGAGGAAAAATTCCTTAATCCATAGCAAAGGGCATACTTGCGATTGCATCCGTTAATTTTGTTTAACTTTTATCCCACTGGTCGGCCCCTCGACATGATGAATTTTATTCCTGTGATGTCCTCATGCGGGGAATAAAACTGATATCTTCCCACCGTGGTCAACCGCATCCTGAACAATTAAGTAACGGAAAACGCAGTTTCCAGGGCTTGCCAGGGGGAGGGCGGCACAGCAGTCGTTCCCCCCCCCCTCCCTCCACCCTAATGAGCAGATTAATTTTACGCACTTTCTGACTTGTTACCAGCTCGACGTCAGACAAAAATAACATGGTAGCAATTACGGGACATTCAGCTGGCTACAGAGATGTAGGAGGGAACGACTTTAGCGCCAATCGGATAGTTGTCCGAATTTCTGGGGTTACACGAACTTTAACTGACCTTCGCCAGGAATACCTCTCCTTGGGTCTCTATTGTTCCTAAAACGAGCGATAATTAAGACGCACACTAGTCAGTGGCTTCGCCATGTCCCGTGCACGGAGAGGGTTTGCGTAATTTTTACGCATAACTTTCCACCTTGACCTGCCTAAGCAATCATGCCGGCCAAATGAACGAAGCCAGGCCGCATAAGGATCACAATCATGTTTTTGTGGAAAGGCCAGCGCACATTCGGCTCCAGTAAATGGATCAAAGCATGGGAGCGGGGAGACGCTCTCACATCTTGACGGCAACAGACCCTCCAAGGGGTGAGAGCGGTTGCCAGTTACCTGCGCAAACGTCCATTGAGAGGCAGTGAAACCGAGAGAAAAAATCTTGGAGAAAACACGCGTTCATCTTCTGTTCACAGGAGAGCCTAATCACTTCGACCGGTTGCGCATCACTCTTGTGAAACAAGTAAAACACATCCAACGAGTTCGAGAAAAGAATTTTAACATTGCACAATCCATACCGCCCCCGCCGCCGCCACCACCACCACCACTAGAATCTGGAGTCGAGAAGGCACGGATTACAGTAGTAATTCGATGATCATTATTGCTCGCAAATAGACAAGTCAGATTAAATCAAAGTCTTTAGACAAAAGTAAGCGGAAGTAAATTGTACATGACTGCACAAGGGGGGGGGGGCAGGGGGTAACCTGGTTGGCTCACAAATGGTATGGGTTAAAAGCAGGGGCTTGGTTGGCAGTTAGGGTTAAAGTTGGCATCTGAGGTGGTTGGCGATGTTGGTGTACTGAGGACAATTCGAAGAATAATTATTTTGCAGGCTTAGGGTAGGGAGGAGGAGGAGGAGGGGACAGAGGAGGTGGAGGAGCATGCAGTCTCTGAGCGGAGAGGTTCTGTACAGGAGAAATGAACCACTGTCCAGGGGGCAGGATTCGTCGGCACCAGAAATGATGTGTCCGGCAACGCGAGGAGGAGGGGGGGAGGGGTTGACAGCAACCAAGGCGAAGATCGGATGGACAACGAACCGTGGCGAAAGGTCCTCCGTGCAGTGTAAGGGTGAAATGGGCGAATGTCGTGATCGAAAGGGTTCCCTAAATGAGGCCAACGTGAAAAGTTAAGTAAGTTAAAAGTGGACGCATTGTAAATTACATAAGTAGCACTATATACCATACTCGACCGCTCAGGTACCAGCTGAAAGCCTAGACACATGTTTAGCTTATATTCTGCCGCTGTTTGACACAGCTGCGAGAGGTTCGGTTCATCACTGTGCGTCCTCCCAGCGTTCCCTGTATGCTTTCCGGTAGATACTCCAGTTTTGAATTTGCAGCTTTTAACTCTCAACTTGGAGTAAATTGGTTCTATTTAAAATTGTAAAACAAGGATGATGGGTTTTAATTGCTGTCTGAACAGTATTCAATGGAGGCCGCCCAATGGAGCCTTTCACGAAACCTATCGACGACGGGCGATAGTACCTAAAATGCTCGAGCCAGCAAGAGCCGTGAAGACGGAGAGGACTGGGAGGTAGGAGACAAAAGAATAAAAGGCATAAAAAGGAAGTAGAAAGGGAGACAGAAAAAAAGTGGGGAAGGCTGGGAGGAACATGACGAAGCAGAGAAAATGAAAAAAGAGAGGGAGGAAGGAGAAAAAAGGCAAAGAAGCCAGATGGAGAAGAGGGAGGGATCACAGAAGAGAAGAAGAAAAGGTTAGAGGACCAAAGAAGAAGTCAAGGATGAAGACGATGGAGGAGGAGGAGGGGGGAGAAGGAGAAGAAGAAGGAATATAGAAACTTTTGGCCAATGCCTGTCGCTTCCAAGTGATTGCATTGCGCCATAGGCAGGACGAAAATGCCGATTAACAGACGGTCACAGAAGCGATTGCCGAGGAGAGCATATAATGACAAGCGGCTTGGAGGCCATAAAATTTCTCTAAAGGTCGCGCACGAGATGGGCTAAGTAGGCAGAACCGGGGAGGGCACACGACAGAGGAGCGTGGGTCAGCTGTTTGTGTGCGTGTGAAACGAAAACGACGCAGCATGCAGATGATTTGAGTGCAGAGCTAGGTCTTCTTCACCTGTTTCAACAGGAACCGCGACGATAAAGGCGCGGCCGTTAGGGTAAATGGCGGTCACGGTAGCGACGCTTAGTGCCGAGTCATTACGAAGATTACTTTGCAACCCGTGCGTGTGTGCGTGAGTGCGTGTATGTAGCAGTGAAGCCCCTCTGCGAGATTTGGCATGCGCACCTTTGCAGAGAAATGTTTTACCAGGTGACAAACAGGCATCATTACGTATGTGCTTGGTGACTTTACTCCGCCAGAGAGTCCTGCCCTCCTCCCGCTCCAGAAGGCGGCGGTCGGGGCGTGACAGCCCGATGAGCGCCGCACAAAAGGATCGAAACACCTGCTGCCTCGTACTCCTAACTCTGTTGGTCTATGTGTTTTTTTCTAGTGCATAAAACGTATTTAAGTAGAGAAGCTTTCGCAGAAAAAAAATCATCTAAGGCAGAGTTTTCTTATTGTTGGCAAAAGGTGCTCACATGTCTGTGGCAATACGCAAGAAACTTCGCGAGCAGTCTTCGTTATGGTAGCATAAGCGATGCAACGGTGAAGCTGCGTGCTTATATAACACCTGTTGCAAACACGTCGCCTAATATGGCAGTTATTTCAGGAAGGCCGTCCCTCTTTACAATGTTCATTGCTTAGTGTAGTTGGAGAAGGTATATTTGGATTTCGAAGTATGAACTCAGGAAGACATTGCACCGAGATTCAACTACGTCCGTTGTAAACGTAATTTAATCATCCCCGTTCCACGTGTATGTGGCCTCATGTGTCTCCAAGTAATTGTCTGGTTCTAGGGCGGGCGAGTTGATGTCAACAGTAACTCTATCACAGTCTCCGTTCCATCTGGAACCACATCTTCAGACCCAGTGGCTACAGTTGAAACTCCTGGGTCACTAAGTAGTCCTCCTGCATCGTGCTCAGTAAGACGTGAGATCAAATTCAAGACACCATTGCAGTTCGACTGTCGTTTCCGACAATGCCCACCGAAGGTCCCACAGCATGGTGGGTGCAGGGATGGTGACTTGTGCGTGAATTACTTTAAAGTGATAGTAGACCTCCGACCCGGAGACGGGATCGGACGCAACCGGTCGGCGTGGCCGGATCCTGCGCATTGGCGTGCGACTGCATCCATATATGCATTTGTTCTGGGTGTGCAGCCCGGTAACTAGTGTCGGACCCTGATCAGGCCTCTGCGTTCGTCCAACGCATCTACCACGCGGCCCGTGGTAGGGAGCACTAAATTAAAGACACTTGAGCCCCCATCACAGGGGCAGAGGCGTGGCGAAGGGAAATGTTTTAAGCAGTTAGGAATACCAGGTGGCACACCTATCTGAAGTCGAGCCCTTATATTAAACCATGTTCCTTTGCGTGGACGTTTACATTGTGCTAGAAGTGAGTTCATCGATCAGGTTACGAGACGCGCTCCTCCCATCTTGCCTTGAAGTCCGATTTAGAACCCTCGCAGACAGTCACATAATGGTCAGTAATAGTGTAGAAATAGGGCGGACAAGTCCATCCCAGTCTCCCTTGTCTTTGTGTGGTATTACTTCCTGCGGATTTCGTCACGCCAGCAATCTGCGCCCTCCCTCATCTCCGGCCTTCTTGACTACGTTCTGACGTCAGACCCAGGTAGGGAGGAGGAGAGAGTGCGGTGAATGCTGCGCAAGTCTACTCAAACTACAAAACTAACTCAGACGCAAGTCACCGTGCCTGCTTTCACCTTGCCGTGGAGCACACGGTGGACATCGTCGGATGCGACAGACGACCCATCATATATAAAGATAATCCTGTAGGAAGGAGCGACCAGCGTTGCGACGTTAAATGATGCAAGACAGTTGAGAAGAGGTACTCACCTTAACCAGAGAATGAAAAGCCGTTGTCTTACCGCCCGCCCGGGGCTTCAATGTCGACAGGACCCTGCAGAGGGGCTCGGTCTTCGGGATTGGGCATTCCGGATTTCGTTCGTTTGCTCGTCTTTCTGTCCTCCTTAGCGGGCTTCTTGGACCGCGAAAAGGCTCGCAAACTCAGGCTCTTCTTGGTGTGCGGTGACTTTTCTGGAATGGTTAGTTCGCAGAGGACAAGAGAGAGAGTTTAAATAGGCGGAAGATGTTGCACCAGAGACCGTCGACAGGAGTTTTACTCACAGCAAGCGAATTCAGGCACTTATGTAAGCATGATTGACGAACAGACACTAGCGAGTCTAGTGCGGGCAAGGCCCTAGAGGGCTGTAGTTTTAGCAACAAAAATGAATACATAATTGCCATTTTATGCGTCCGGTGCTTGGTCAGACCCCCTGGTTTTGGCAACACACAACGTCCGCACGAGTGAGTTGCTAGGGCACGTACTTTCTGGGGATGCTATCGCGCTGTGGCTTGCTGGAGTTTGTTTCCTTTCTCTCAAATATAGTAGATAACTTTTGATTGAGGCGGCAACAAGCGAGTGAGAATTAGGGAGAATCGCTACTTAAGTAGAGGCTTTCCTATTCGCATCCAACGCTTGCACAAGTTAAAAAAAATATCCCGCAACAGCCTATTTGATACTTCACACAGTTTTCTGGCATACGAGGAGACCATTAAGGTTCTCAAAACTCTTAACTTAGGAGAAGCTCTTAGAGCGTGCATGATAAACCGCGTTCCTAGTGGACGCCTGCTCTTCTGACAGAAACGGGTCTGCCAATGTCTCTGATGATGGGTTCGAGTGAGAATCCGAAACGTCAGGCGAATAAAACCCTTGTTCCAGCGATCGCTTTTCCTTCCTCTTATCAACTAGTTCCTTGAACTCGCATCTTCGCTTGTATCGGCCTCCTCTTCTTTTGATATGCTACTTGGGAATCGCATTTTCACTACTATTTATGAGAAAAAGTCAGCGAGATCCTTATCTGCTCTACTCTGCTCTAAGCACTGACGTCAACGAGAGGTCCAAACAGGTATAGTGTCGATTTTCTGGGACCGTGATACACAGCTGTGCGGGGTTTGGCTCACCGTAAGGTCCTCCCCTGCACGGTTCACATGATCTTCACCTGTGCTGGGACTGTTGAGAAAGAAACTTCGCTGAACAACACCTATTACCGCTACATTTGGAGATACAAACATGCAGTTATCCGATGAACTTAGCTTCATTTGGCTTCGTTCACAGAATAACTGCGTCCGGATCGAACAAGGCCATTTTCGGCATTCGCAAGTTCGGACACAAGGGGATTTTCTCTAAACGATGCTCATAAACCCCCTTACGAACAGTTTAAACGTCTGAGAAAGTGCTAGCTCTTTAATAAAATACAATATTTACTAGCCACGGAAAATCTTAATAAGCAAGTCCTCGCAAAATAAGCATAAGAAAATAAACGTATCAGCATTACTGTCACGAAGAATGAGATTTAGTCCCTTCAGACAGACATCAAAAATCACTGGACAAAAACACCAATCACATTCGGCTTCCTTTGTGAATGCGGGACGAGTGAGTTCCGTAGCACGATCGGTGTGCGCTCCCTTCTACCACTGTATATTCCCGATCGCAACCGACAGGAGAAGGAGCATGTGGCTCAGTGGATAGGGGTGTTGGACTTCTAACCGACAGGTCGCGAGTTGGGCACGGCTGGCTGACGACGGCTAGTAAGCCAGAAATGGCTATCCCAGTCTCCCTTGTCTTTGTCGGTAACGTTACTCTGCCTTTATTAGGCGCCGCTGTATGGCTGCAGGTTGGGCTCGAGAGAGAGAGAGCCCTAAGGCACGGCAAGCTACTGAATGTGGATCAGCATCGAAATGTGATTCAAGCCCTTCGGCATAGCAACATCACCCAGACCATAATTTTTGCTGAAAAGCGCACTCAGTGTTCAGTTTTCTTGGGGACTGGCTGCACAATGCAGAAGCCCAGCTTAACAAACAAACAGATCCGCCACTTCTTGCAGTTATGTCTTCCAGCGCTCCTGCGCCCAAAGGCGACAGAGCGCGAAAACTCCGAAGAGAGATAATCGTACATCCAGGTGCACAGGTATGACGTCATGACATATGTGAGGCCGGTGGCAACCTGTTGGCGTGCAGCAGCGGCGGCAGACGTGTTGGCGCGAGGCAATGCGTGCGCGAGAACACACACACACACACACTAATATTGATCCTGCCTGACCTGTTGTACACTAAGTGACGACAGTTTACGGCCTTACCAGGGCTCAAGTGTCTCAACGCCCTCGGGGTGTGCTCTCACGACACGCACACACAGGCGTCTGCCCTTCGGCGGCAATTCTATGGGGTTTGTTGCCTGCGCGATTGAGGCACGTCGCTACCTGCATGGTTTCTGGCACAGCGCCGGCTCACAGAAGCGCAACCAGAGAGGAGCTGTTCACACACACAGTGCGATAACCTGAATGAGTGCGAGATGGCTGGATAAGATGACGCATATGATTGAATTCGACCTCAAAAGAGCTCCACCTTGCGGTTAAACACTAGCGGCTAATGAGGACAGGTCTCCCACAGGATGTTTATGCATATATATGTATGGCTACATATATGGTATATATAAATTTAAAAACAGGCATCGCAAGAAATATAATTTTAAAGATGGATTTCTTTGGCATATATAGGTATATGGTTCCTGTGATCACCTAGCCTTCTCCATTATGTCCGGAAACGCGCATTTTCGCTTTTATCAGCCATATATATATATATATATATATATAAACATATATCAGAGGGGAGACGACAGTCTGGGAGTCGACTGATACAGAACTGGTTCGGGTTTGTTCGCCTTCATTCGGCCAATCATAACCCTGACCGCCAGCTGGGACTGGAAACGCAAACATACGCACAGGCACATCTGGCACAGTTGGTCCACCACTGGGGTCTACCAGATGGGTCATAGGCGCTTCATCGAACCGAAGTTCATCAGTGCCTCGTCACCTGCCATGCTCTGTCGCTGCAGATCGAGTATGGTTGGCTGGATGAAGGCAAACAAGTCAAAAACAGATCTGCATCTATCAACCCTCCACCGCAACCTCTATAGTCCCCCTTCTGTCATCATGGCTCGGACGACTTCGGCCCGATAGGTGGTTGCCTGTTCGTCACCCCTATCACTCATATGAAGCTAGTCTGCTTCGGAAAGCCAATGGATCGGCGTACGCCCATTCCTAAGTGAAAATATGCATGCATAGGAGCCAAATTCCTTTGGTTAGAAACAGCATTTACTATGTTACTTCGTGAGATTGATTCCCCACTCGATGTTGGACATATGAAGCCCCTGAAACCTGCCCCAGTACGCGTCCATTGTACTTCATCACTCCGTTGAGATTGGCTGCATTCTTATTTGCTTCTCCTTGAGAATTTTGTTTGGGTGCGCAAACCAATGTGTCTGTTGATGCATGACTCGTCTGAGCGCATTGTCTGCTGCGCGGTCCAAAGTGAGTCTCCTCCTATGACACTGTCTGTTCAGTGTCTTTAGCACGTGTAAACTGGATGCGCAAAGCACTTGTAGGTTTTTGATACTTCTTCATCTGTCTGTCGACGAGCTGAGACGCGGTTTTCACATGTAGGAGAGCTGGCCAGGCGGCGAAAATTTCCAAACCCGGAAAGAGACGAGACCATCTATTTCTGATGCCCATGCAAACACTGAACACGAAGCACACAGTTAAATGGAAAAAAAACTCGCATTATGAGCGCCAGCACTCAGACGAGCCATACATCAATACCTATATCGATTTGAATGCCGCAAACGAAGTTAACTGGGGCAAGTGGGAATGAACTCAGCCAATCCTCGCGGGGTGAGGGCATACAACAGACGCGCATTGGTCCAGGCTTCAGCCAACCCTAGAATCGTTTATGGGGCATGGCTAAAGGGCTAACTGCTTTTGTACATCGTCCATGCGTTTTACGACGAGTCAGGGAATCATCCTCAAAAATATACACAGTAAAGGCTGTTTTGTTACCAAAGCATTCGGCTTCTTGTTGACGTCATTTATTAAAACGCTGGTTATTCAATGCAGTATGTATATAAATATATAATAAATGAAGTGAAGTCAAATATGCCATGTGGGAAAAGTAAGAAACATTACTGCGTAGGTTTTCGACGTTTTTTCCGACCCTTGACAATTTGCATACAAAGCCAAACGCAGTAGTTTAGACGCTGTTGCTCTTGTGGTCTGCTCTGCTCTAAAAGAATTAGACAATGGTTGCCGCGAGTACGCATGCGCTTTTCTTGACTACTCCTTCGCCTTCAGTACCGTCCCGCGCCCGCTTCTCCTCACCAAAACATCCGCGTGCGGCTCTCCAGACTGGGGTCATCTCATGACTTAGCGATTATTTTACTTCCCGCACTCAATTTGTCCAATCTGGCAAGCGGAAATCTATGGTCCTTCCCAAAGACTGCGGAGTTCGTCAAGGTTCCATTCTATCCCCTCATCTTTTCTCCCTCCACACCGACGATCTAAAATCCCCTAACGACTGTCTTTTGGTTATGTATGCTGACGATGTGGTTGTTGGATACTCTCTCAAAAGTCAGACACACCTCCAGTCTCTAAAGGAAGGCTTAAACCATGTTCTAGCATGGTCGGAGGAAAATGGTCTCCTAATGAACAACCAAAAAACGGTTCAGTGTATTTTCCGACTGTGGCCCTCTCCTAGTCCTGCATCCTCTGACATCCTTCCTAACGAGGTATCCTCTTTCAGGTATCTTGGCGTTACTTTGTCCTCAGATCTCTCATTTTCCATCCATATTGAATCCCTTCTTACCAAAGTTCGTAAACTTCTTTATTACATTCGTCGGTTACGTTCCTACCACACACCTCAACCCTTAGTCTGGCGGTTCATCAATGCCTGCATTCTTCCTCTTATCCTATACTGCTCCCCTGTCATTTTTCCTGCTTTGCTTAAAAAGGAACTTTTAATTTTAAAACGAGTCTTCCGAATTCTCTCTTCTGCCGCTCCTATTTCTTATCTATTTTAGTCGACACTATCCTACAACGAAATTTCAATAGGGTCAAGCAATTTGCTGGTCGGATCATAGATGGCGTTGCCCATCCCTTGCATTCTGATCTTATTCCTGCAAAGTCTTCCCGCCCGGTGCGCCGCGGCTTCCGGCTTATACCTTGTCGCACATCGGTTTTTCGAGCTTCTGTATTGCCATTCCTAGCGCGCTATCTTACGTGCGAAGAGATAGAACTACAGAGCGAAGACTTGGACTGTCCCCATAATAATCGCCCCTTTTGTGTTAAACTTCTTGACTCTTGAGTAATCTATTATGTTGTTTACTACCCACAGTGAATGGAGCCAATTTTTTGCTGAATATTTTGAATTTATGATTTCAAAATAAAGCGAATTCCTCTCTCTCTCTCTCTCTCTCTCTCTCTCTCTCACGTCGGTTCCCCGAGGTCGTCGTTAGACGTAGAGCAAGTGTGTGCAAAACAGTCGACGTTTAGGTGCACGCCGAAAATTTACACAATGATGGTTCTTAATTTTCTCAAAGAACATATCTGATTTCAAACAATACCCTGTTGCGACGCCTACCTGTCAATATATTTGGATATATGCTGGAAGCACGTTCAGCTCTTTGGTTACGGAACATACTCCTCCAGTTGTGCCTCTGGATTTAATCTAGAGCCCTCGTAGACAGTCGCATAGCAACTAGTAGCGTATGCAGATGATGTCGTGTAACTTGATCGGTGACCGATAACCTATCATTATTAGTATTCCTAATCAGAACCGACGGGACAACGGCCTCATGGTTCAATGGTAGAGCACTGGACTCAATGAACCAAAGATCCCCGGTTTGAATCCCTGGTGTCCCACACCTGGGCTCGATTATAATTGGGTGATGACGGTTACTAAGCCAGAACTGGCCGGTACGATCTCCCTTGACTTTGTCAACAATCGCCTTCTACGCAATGGAGCGAGTTAGTCTCGTAATGCGATCGGTGAGCGCCCTCTACCGTATATGCACATGTTTGCGTACGGTATAAGCCACTGTCATATATAATCATACTTTTAGTAGTAGTATTCATTTGTTGAGTAAGCGTGATGCGATTATTCCGCAGAAGTTGATCGTCGTCAGCTCGAACCTTCACCAACACTTCGGGATCGACCTTAAAAAGTAAAGTCCTGGGCACTTTACTTCCCTTTCTGCATTTCATAATTCCTGAAATTATTAGCTTGATAACTATGTTAGGAAATCATAAAGCCTAGGAACCAGATCTTCCCGGTCGACGGTTGAAGGCTTTAGTGGCTCTATCTCTGGTTATACCGCTGGGGCAATACTGTAAGAGCTCTGCCTCCAACCTATAAACTGGGCGAGGGGTATAGTTTGTGTCCGGGACTACTTACTCCGGGGGACAATTGTGCTAAAAGAAAATAACTGGCGATGTTTGTGTGTGCATGCTGTGGCTGTTGCGTGGGGGTGATCGAGATGCTTAAAGGTAGTCATCGGAGTAGAAATATGACAATCAAATGCCTTTTGACAATGCTTGCAAAGGGACATCGAGTTCATTTACTATTATAACTAAGTAGTAAAAATAGTGTCCCCTTTTAATTGGTGACAATATGGGGTTCAGAATTTGTAATACCAAAAAGTCCTTAGATGTCCCCCTGGAGTAGGCAACCCCGCCTATAAACCATACCTTTGCCTCCGGATGCTCTACATCGATGACGCGCCTGTCACCCTATATCTCAAGTATAATTTCAAAAAATATTTTCTCAAAATCCTAGTTCACAGTGGAAGAGATATGAACGGGATGATCTGGTTCCTAAATGTCATGATTTGGCGAGATCGCAGTTGGTAGCCAGGACCCGTATTACAGGTGGCGGGGGGGTTTGTTTACTGGGGCTATTTTGTGGGGCTCCATAATCGCATCTGACCCATTTGGCTTCCGTTTTACGTTTGAGGTTAGGATTAGGGTACCGGTTAATGGTTTCCGGTTTTCGGGTTAGGGTTATGCCTTTAGGCTTAGGTTTTCGGGTTACGGTTAGGGTTTGAGTGTACGAATAGGTTTCAGTATTACGATTAGGTTTTTCAGTTACGGCTATGTCTAAGGGCTACGGTTACGTTTACGATTTCGGTTAGGGTTTGGGTTGTCGTTGGGGTTAAGGGTTAACGTTTAAGGTTGAGGTTAGGGTTAAGGTCGCCGTCCGCTTCCCCATTCCTGCTACCAACTGCGATCTAGCCCATGATTTCGAGGCGTGCATACGGAACCCTTAACATCAGGACCATTCGGATGCTAACGGAGGTTGCAAAAACCTCCTTTACGATAGTACTTATCAGCTACTATTTTTCCCCTTTATGGGTAGGTTATGAGCCCGAACGGGTGCAAAGCTCACAGACTTAAGCGCCATACCAGGTGACACATTATATTAGGAAACAACTATTCAGAAGTACCGACTCAGGGAAACTGTAGTTCCGTCTTGGAAACTATGCCGTACAAAGGTATAAGGACAATGCTTGTTTCTGTCGAGTTCATTTTTTAAACAGAGACAGGTGAAAAGGCACACATTGACTGCATGTTAATGTACTCCCCACTACTGAAAACGATGCCAATGGCACTGCGATGGTAGGTGACTCCACAGACCTTGCTGATGATGATGATGATGATGATGATGGACAGTCATATTTGCTGCTTATATCCTCACAGAGCCGAAGAGATGAAGGCGCCTTTTTCTTTCGTTGGGAAAGATCGTCTTTTGGTTCTGTCCTACGCTCATTTTTAGCGTTACAGCTTCTACAAGTAGCCCTACTTATTGACAGCTGAAACATTCTGAGTGTACCTCGGCGAACATGCAAGCCCACCGGGTTGAAAATGTGCTCAAACCAATGAATAAACGAAGCAACTTCCCATCTACACGAAAGCGCAGTCTAAGATTTTAATTCGTCCTCAGGTTCAAACTGAAATGGTACAGCAGAGTGGATTAAAGGCATCGATGTAAGTGAAAGTTAGTGGGAACCAGACTCACCAAAGGAAGCTTCACTTGGTTCGCCAGCCGCTAGGAGGCTTGTCTGGAAACTCGCCACATCAGCCGTAGCGAGAGTCAGGGTGCGTCGGGACTCCCCAAGAGCCCATTCGGGTTCCTCTTCGGGAAGGGCATCATCGTCCATGTAGGGCACGTCATACTCCTCATCCGTCTTCCAGTTACAGCTAGGCAACTTGGTGGGAGTGATTGCGTAGGGGAAGAGGTTATCGTCATTTCTAAATTTACAATTCCGCGGTGGGAAGTCTAGAGTGCTCCAGGGACGGGGCCTTCGGAGCGGGGACCCGTACGCATAGTAGCGCCTGTATGCAACAGCCAAGTCCTTGGAGATATCTGCGTCGGGCAGGCATGGCAAGGGGGGTGTTGGTGGCCTTTCGCTGTCCACCTCAGTGTCATTTATGCTGGGAGCGTGCCAGGTCTGACGTTGAGGCTGTTCGGTGGAGGAACATCGGCTGCTACTGCTGGGTTTGCGCATCTCTATGGAAACCTGCAATGGCTCTCGAACATCAACAGTGGCGGTAGCTTTTCTGGTGGATTTGGCTTTAAACAGACCTGCAAAATGCTTCTTTGGTCTCGAATCCGGGGCGATAGCTTTGGAGGGGGTGGAGCTCTGCAGTGGCACTAGTTGAGCCTCTTCAACCTGGACTTGCGCTGAGGGTTGCTGAAGCCGGCCTCCACGTTTCCAAGACCAGTCTCGTTTCTGCCCAGACTCAAGGGTATCGTCGAATTTCGGAGCTGAACTTTGGACGGTAGTGCTTATGTCCGCCTGGATGCCAAGATCTTCATCACGTCGGCTAAGCGAGCCAACTGGGGCAGGCTTCTCGGACGCAATCTTCCGTCTCCGCTTCTCTGGCTTCAGAGGCCGTTTGCGTTTCTTGTTTGGAGGCGAACCTTCCACCACACCACTTGAACTACTACTCATTTTTCGTTGTTGAGAAGAGAGCGAAGGCGTCACATTGGGTGTGACCTTCTGGGAAGACCATGGCCATCGCAGCCTGAAGCCGACCTTCTTTAAGTCTTCGGAGACTACCAGATCTTCTTCCTTACTGCGAGGCAGAGAGGCACCGCCATGAACACCATATGATTTGCCCAACTCTGGGGTAACAGAATGAGCCCAAAACTCAGGAGGAGATGAGAAAGGAGGCGTATCAGACGCAGATTCCACTTCTGACGACTCGGACTCAGACAAGCCCAAAGGCGAAATCGGAGGCGACAGGTGAGAAGATGGAACGGTGGAAACAGACAAACCGGAACGGACAGCGGGAACGGAACCATGGTCAACGTCGTCCAAACCACCAAAGTCGACTGCGGCAGAACGCGCACGAGAATCAACAACCGATATACCTCCACAGGGACCAGCAGCAGAAGACACACAAAGGCCAGAAGAAACCAGGTCAGGTGCAGGCGCAGAAACATCCGGGGAATAAACCACAAGCGCAGGCATCTCCACATCCACCTTCGGACCCTTCACCTTGCCCGACTTGCCCATCTTCAAGTGCGCGTGCGGCATCTTTACCTTGAATCCACCCATTTTGCCAATGCCGCCAATCTTGCCACCAGCATCCACATCCAAATCCGT